CCCCAAAACCCCAAAACCCCTCTTTCTAAAATTTAATAAAGTTAATAGTAGAAAATATGATTTAAAAATTCTAGGAAATTTTTTGCTGAAGTATAGGTAAATTTTAAAAGTTGAATTTATTAGTTATGAGTTTGTTATAGTAGTGATTAATGTAAGAATAATTATTAGTTTGAATATAAAATTCAGAGCAAATTATGCGCCTGCGTGTGTGCAAAAATCCCAAGCATCTTGCTTGGGCAACTTGGACAATTCTTGCAAATAACCCTGTCAATAAGTAGTTTTATATTCTCCTATAAATAATAGAGGGGGCTATATAATACTTCTACTTGCTAGTTATTTTGTCAAGAATGCATTACTCAAATCTTGAGTCTGGTTCTGTTTCAAAAGAATAGTTAGCCAATTCTAAAGCAGATACTGTCAATAATCACATTTAAGATCAATATGATGGACCAGGAATTTCATATAAACAAATAAGAAGTGCTGACCTATATTTGATTGAGTACACAACTTCGAAATACAACATGCTATGGTTCTCAGCGACTATAGCTATACTATCGGTCTCACTATTTATCTTGATAACTATACTTTTGTTAGCAATTTTTATCAAGAACCATGTAGGGTTGTAAAAGCCCGACTACTTAAAGAAAGGATTATGCTTTTTGATGATACTGTTCATGACAATTTTACAAATGCCAATTTTAGACGCAATTCTTAGAACTATCATGACTATTTCTGGAACTAGTGATTCCTTGTCATTAATCATTGTCAAATATGGAGTCTCATTTCTTGCACTTCTTTTCTTTTGCATCCTGATGCTTTACCTCATATTACTATTTAATGTATGCATCCCAACAGAATAAGTACCTTGGTGTTATCCAGTTTCAAAAATTGTTTTCTTAAATATTGGAGCCAAGATTATTATCGTCGGATGCGTTGTATTTGACTAGGAAGGATAATATGCATTAATAGAGGTTATATGTTTACTTGTGATCTAAACCATTCTAGGGGGATAAAGACTATTATTTTCTCCCAATTATCAACTGGACGTAGATTTTATAGTTAAGACTAGAGATTTCTCTAATCTGCTTGCATTAGTTATAGGCATATCATGCAAAATGGTTTCTGATGAGCAAAATTACGACATTATCTATATGATATGCTTCTCACCCATAGTTACTTTGGGATGGAAAATATTAGAAACAATGAGAAATCAATAGATTTTATCAAAATTAAAAAGCAAGACTCTAAAATTAGAAGTTGAATATGAGTACATTCTCTATACGCTGATGATGTTAATCTAAACAACTAATTCAGATAGTTTAGCTGATTAGAAAGTTTTTGGATAACTCATGGATATAATGATTGTTCATATAAATGAATGTGATGACTAGCTGTGTATTTGTGAAGAGCTAGAAAATTTTTACGAGCTTATGAAATTCAAATTCATTAACAATTCAGAAGTTTTCTCACTTGCTAGAGATGAGAGAAAGAAGTACAAAAAAATAATTGATGATTAAGGTCTGGTTGGAACAATATCTAATATAACTGATCTGATTGTGAAAACACACTCTACAGAATCTACTATTCTAAAGGCTAATAATGAATTAGACAGATAGAGTAAGATGGAGGAAGCAGAACTCCTTGAGAGATAAACATTGGCAAACTAAGAGAATATGAATATAAACGGTCAAAGTATTCATAAGAAAAAGAAAAGCAAATAAGCATATAAAATTAATATTGACTAGACAAAACATTGATTCTTATCTGAGCTTATCTATCTCTTCTACTGCGATTTAAAGATTAAATTTCCCGATTCATTCAAGATCTAACTGCTTTCTAATTATTTCGCACTCTAGTACAAGAAGAAAGAGATGCTCTGCATTTTCTAGATGAGAAATTTCAACTTGGCTAAGTTATCAATTTTGAACTAGATAACTTTCATCACGAACGAAATGTATCTTCTCAATGAAATTGAGAATCTTCAAAAAAATCAGTTTTTAATGCAAAATGATGGGCAAATGTTTAATATAAACGGGGAGTATTTTATTTAAATCAACCAACTTTACAAAGAGTTTAATCACAACATAGAATAGTTGAGCACAAGTGTAGTCAATTTTTGGAAAGATTTTGAAAGAGAGTCCATTAACGTTGAAAAACTGCAAATTGAGGGAATTGCTATTGCTAAGAATATATAATCGACATTCAGAGTGTTCTCAGACCTAGACAATATAAAGCTTTTCAAAGATTATCAAATGTATTTTCAGTTTGCCATTGTTCAACTTCATATTCTAAATGATCAAATAGCTTATGAGCTCTATGTCAACAAGATGAAAAGCATATTGGAAACAAACAAGATGTTTGAGAAAAATTTCTCATCTGAAAGAGATAGTGATTATTCTAATTTCATAATATCAGATGCTAACGGCTAGAAATTTGGTTAAATCTTACAAATGAATAATAGTCTGAAGCATTTGCTTGGATGGACAGAAGAGGATTATACTAAATATAGAATTGAGTCATTTATGCCAACTTTGATAAAAGAGAAGCACAGTGCATTCTTAGAGAGATACGATAAAACTGGTTAATCTTTTATCATAAACAACAAAACTTGTATGTTTGTGAAAAAGAGTAATGGCTATGTAATTCCCATTGAGCTATTCATTAAGTTTCATTACTCCATTGAGTATTAGTATGTGTATCTTGCTATTCTGAAACCATTCTATGAGATGGCGCCATTTAGTAACGGTGTAAGATATAATACCGATTAGCTTCTGTTTGTAATCACTGATGGTGATGATGGTAGAATATTCGAATATTCAGAGTCATGTAAAAGTATATTAAAATTCAATAAACAGTATACAAATGATGGAATAATTAAGATTGTCGACGAATTAATAGAGAATTTTAGCTTTAAGATCTTTACACAGACTCGGTCTCATAGATACATAACTGCTGAAATATATGAAGAAATTCATTATCTAGACCTAACTTATTTATCTGATGTTACTGAATAAGATATTGACAAAGGACTATAAAATTTAAACAATACCCTATTTGATAAATTTACTAAGGCTAAAACTAGAGTATTTGAAGAAAGATATAGTGGAGGAGTATTAGATCTAAATATATTCTGCTTCTTATTACTACACGAAAACGATGACAATACTCTATCAAGAAATTTCAATATTGAATAGACAATTATGAACACAGCAGTTTAAAATTTGTAGAAAGATTTATCGCATAAAAACTAAACTCAGAGTTCTCATATCGAAAGTGCCCATGACTCCTCATCTATTACTGGTTCATCTTTCTCATAGAAATCATCAACTACTAGTATGCTAGATTATAGGAATTTTCATTCATTTAGCGCTCAAAAGACCCCTAGATCACTAAAAATTATAATCTAGCTAATCTTTATACTGTATCTGGTAATGATAGTGATATCATCAGTGAATCTAGGCATTAATATCACTAGGTAAAAACAAAGTGAGTATGATGTTCATGTAATTAAAGATGCTAATGATAGAATGAATCTTGTTTCAATAAATTTGTTAATATCTCGTGTTCTCCTAAATATTGCAAACGGTTATGAGCCAGAAATAAGTTCGCTAATGGAAGATAGATTTAAAAATTACAAGGAAATTTAAAGAGAAAAAATTTAACTTTTAAGAGAAGCCCAATCAAGTCTTTAACAATCAAGCTTTGTAAATTCCGATGAACTTTCATATGAATTGAATGAAAATTCAATGAAACTTTATTATCTGAATGAACAAAACTTGAGATATGATAAGCAGGAAAATATAAATATTGCTTTTAACTTGTACATTGCTCGAGTTGCAGATATGAATTCAATGACTAAGGAATAAATGAAGGGAAATCAAGACATTTAGACTTTGTATCCATCAACTGACCCTACTTACAAACCAAACATCTATGAATAAACCCTCTTTTTCACTATTGAAAATGGTAATAAAGGATTTTGACAGTTTGCGGTTCACCTGGCTTCATTATACGCTCGTGAATCTGAAAATCATGCGGAACAAAATATTAGCTCCACTAAGGTAACTACAATAATTTCAGTTATCACGATTCTTATCATTGGAATAATAATTGCTCCTATTTTCACAAAAGCTGAGATTAGAAAGTATAGAGCACTGCTATTTTTTTTAAAAATCCCATAATAAACATTAACATAAATGATTAAAAATTGTGAGTATTGCCTGAACATGAATGATGAAGTAAGATATGATTAAATACAAAAAGACTATGAGAATTTTCTTGGAGTAAAAATAAGAAATCAGTAAATTGAATAAATAAGATAAGAGAGAGATTAGCAAAATAATGTTATGAACTAAGAAAATAGCAAATCAGTATCAAATACATTTTTAACTGGCTCTGTGATGGCACCTAATACAATTTCAAGTTAAAATTTAAAATAAGGAATTTTTAAATAAGAAGATAGCAGCTTATTAATGAACAGAGATAGTCTTAAAGATTTGGAATGTCCTACTCCAAGCTATGCTACTCTAAAAAATGAAAGAACCGATATAAATGATATCAAATTAGACAATTTGAATAAGACTAAGTTAAAGAATAAAGAAAAAAATTCAAAGGTAATTATTGAAGAAGAAGAATATGATGATGATGATGTAAATAATAATAGAAATTAATAAAAAATTCTTTCATAAAGTCAAATATTCAATAGATCACAAGTTATGCAGGATGATTCTATTGTTGGATTGAGCTAATTGGAGGAAACTACGATAAAATTGTCAGACATTGCTTAGTAAGAAGAATCGTAGGATGATAAAAATAGATAAAATAAGAAATAATTAATAAAATAGAAATCTTATTAAAGAAGAAGCACCATGATTTTCTTAACTATCTTGGTCATACTCCTGCTTTCTATATACTTTGTTATTGCATATTTTCTTGCAATGAAAACTTTTGAAACTGCCAAAGATGTAGTGCAATCTTTAGAATTAATATTTTACAAAGGGTCTTGCTTTGACAGTACAATGAACTTTTTAAGAGAAAGTGAAATAAGAGGCAAACATTTGAAATTAGATGATAAAGGAGGTGTATCTGCTACAGATTATTATCTTGATTTTTGTCTCTAAAAAGAGAAAGAATATAAGAATATGAGAATGAATATTCCAGCATACTTTGAGCAGGCTAGAAGTTTAATTGAATCTCTTGACTCTAAAGAAATGTGTGATATAATTTACTAAGGATAATTTGCTTACTTGCATGATTTTTGCAAAACATCATTGAATGGAATTCTATCATAAGGACTGAGTAATTCTTTCTACTACATGTATGCCTAAATACTCAAAGACAATTTACAGGTTTCTCAAGCAATTCAAAACCATAACTTAACAACAAACAAAAGACTTCTACTTGATAATGAAATAATTTAAATTATAGACATGAAAGCGAGACTTTTAGATCCATCCTTAACAGCACTCAAAGAAAAATGTATCACATCTGTAGTTCAGTATATTCAAAAATTACTGCAGAATTTCGTAGTGGCTTTCATTGTCTTCATACTCATACTGACTTTGGGTGTTATCATCATACTAATAGTATCTTTTAACAAACTGAGGCAGAGTATGTGGGACACTAATATTATTCTAAAAATTATTCCGTTTGAGGCTATTGACAAAAAGCAAAGAATCAAAATTAAAGATTTCTTTAACTCATGAGAAGATCAACTAAATAAAACTTATTAAAATTTAAATTCAAATTCAAATTTCTTAAATATTACTAATTTCTATTATCTAGTGAGAACGGGGTTTTGGGGTTTTGGGG